ATTTTCTGCAATTGTGAGCTGATATACTTTTAGATAAGGTAAGAAAACTACACAACTCAACTAAGAATAATTTGACCAAAAGGAATATTAGTGATATAAAAGAAACCTGAAGGACCATGCAAGTTAATTTTAGTTAAACAAACAAGTTGTATAAAAAGGGAGAAGGCAGGAGTGCATCTCATCAGAAAGACCAAATGGGAGAAGAGATAAAAACTGAGCTATGCGTGCATTCTTTTTTGGTGCATGCTGGTCCTGGGGAAAGTTTTCTAGACTTCTAGTGGCCTCTTGTTTTACTTAGTTGCTTGGTTATTCGGCATGTGCAGTCTAATTATTTATCTAATCATCTCCATGCATATTACTCAAATAGTTGGTTGCTGCAGGCTCTCGAAGTACCTTGTTTGCAGCTACAGATCCTCAAATTTCCGAGTACTGTGAAATGCTGAAAGCAGATGACTGGCCAGTGTGTGCATACATTTCCCATGATTGTCGTCCCACAAATGCTTCTGAAGAAGCCCATAATATTGAAACTTCTTACAAAGTCTGGGAGAAGACTCTGGAATTGGTTGGCCTTCCTTCAGATGCAGTAGAGAGGCTTATAGAAGGGGAAGAAATTAAATGCCGGTATGGGAACTCCCAGGAGTAACTCTTCAGCACTCGATAAAGTTGTCATGCCTCCAATTCTCTTCTCTTGATCTATTTCAGAAAAGGAACAAAGTAGAAACCTGTATTACGTGAAAAGAAGTTTTTGGCTTTTTGCTTCTAATTCAGCTTCTAGACATGCAACTGATGACATATCAAGAGGCATGGAGTTCTTATGTCCTTAGCATGAAGCCTGATGAAGGTCTGCCTACGTGTTTTAAGTGGAATCCGTTTCCCCATGTCCAAACCTTCTATATAGTTTTTTGTGTTAGTTCTTGTATGCAACATACAAAAATTAACAAACTCTTTTGCCACATATGTTCCAGCACGTCAAAGCTACATGTATCTGAGCTACTTTAGACAATTTGCAAATCATAAGGGTAAGTTTGGACCTTTCTTTTTTGTGTTGTATTTTATTAAGGATGATTGTTGACACACTGTTTTAAAACTCCCATTTCCGTTATGACCCAATGTCAAATTAGAGATGTTAATCTTTTGTGAGTAATTTAAAGCAGTTTTGTATTTCAAATTCTTAAAAATTTTAGAATTGAACTTTTGAAGTTATCTATAATCGAATGTGCAATCCCTCATTCATCTAAAAAGAAAAAGAAAAGGTGAAAGTGTAATTGTCAAAGATAGGGCTGTGTAGTCTGAAGAAACAGCTGCTTGACCAATTGACCTGTCCATCAACTCTGTTCCCAGCAGCTACATTAAATACACAAATACGTGGCATCTTCTGATTCGCGAAAAATCAAATCGTAGTTTGCGGGCTTTTACATGGAAGAAACTATTTGACTTCCTAGTCCCTAACCCAAGAAATTGTCCCTCCCACAAAACCCAAAAAAACAGAAAGCCCAAAATACCATTTCTCTTTTAAAAAGAAGCCAAGCCACCTTTTTACTCTCTATAATTATTTGGATTTGCAACTCCGCCTAAACATGCAAAATCAACTCCCAAAGTTTTTTTCCTGTGTAGCATCAACAACTTATTTGAGTCTTTGAGGTACCTATATATCTCTTTTTTATCTGTTTTGTTTTAGTGATCAAAGATTCCAACTTCAGTAAGCTTTCTCTGTTTTCATCACTCCACTGAAATTATTTTTATCTCTGTTCCTGTTAGTTTCTGCTAATTCTTGATGCAAAACTTATTTGCCTGTTTTACTTGTCATCATAATGTTTTTTTACTTTTTTTCTTATATGCCCCTTTCAAAAACATTAATAATTTGACTTTCACATATTCTAGTGTACTGCTATGTGCCTGTCATTAATCGACGAAAGAGGAAAATTAAATTATTTTCTGATTTGGAATCCTTTTTGAATAGTGTAGGCCCTATCTTTGCCTGTTGAAATGAAGGCAAAACTGAAAACAGAGAAAAAGGCATTAAGTCCAGTTTCTTCAATGGCTTCTTCAAATTATACAAAAAGGAGAAGCTTCAGTAGACCCTCTTGGCTTCTTTGCACTGTTGCTGGTAAATTATTCATACATGTCTATACTCTTTTTTTTTTTTTTACCTCTTGTAAAAACTTATTAGTTTTTATTTTATATAAATATGCTCCTTTATTGGAACCATCTAGACGTCATTAAAGTGCGTTAAAAATTATTAAATTTTAGTTTCAAATTCAAGTAGAGGCAAAAATATCGATCACCGCAGCATGGTTCACAATGAGATCATTATTTTTAGACTACTTTTTATAATCATGCCGTTCGAGTTAACATGCTTAAAATTTAGAAATTTATCGAGATTTTATTAAATAGTAAATGAAAATTGTACCATGGTCTTGTTTAATTGTTGTAGTTTCGTGGGGGGGGGGGGTCCATTATTCTTAGGTGATGTAAACATTTCTTTCCCTAGGAAAATGAATATTGTGTACACACCTCTGTATTTGAAGGGTAATACTGTTATGAAATGTGAATTTCTTTATAATATAAAATATGATAAAATCAGAAAGTTATTTTCAAAAAACTGTGTCCTTTTCTTATTTATGTCTGTTGCAGTTTCTACCTAAATAATTTAGAATCTTTTGCAAAACCCTTTTTTACAAGTTTTTTTTTCAAAAAATAAATTTGAATTCGAAATAGAGGGACTCATATATTTAATTTTGTTAGATGCCGTGTTGCAGAATGAAAATGATTTTTTTGCTTTCTTTACAGTATTCTTTTTTTTTTTCTGTTTTTATTTTTCTTTTCTGAAACTTTATCTGTACCTAAGAGTAGTAGCTTTTAATTTCAGAACAACCATTTTTCTTTTTTGGGTACTAGAATCCAATGTAATTTTAAATCTTGTCTTTTTTTCTAATTTTATGTATGAAATCATGTGCTTTGGTGGTTCACAAGATTATATAAGATCTTTTTGACTTGTGATGAATAACTTTTATATACTTAAAGTGAAATTGTTAAACCGTTCTATAAAAAATGACATCTAGTTTTATGTACTTAAAAAAAATTACAATTCATTTTTGATGGAACGTTTAACAACGTACTTATAAGCTTACCAAAAAAACAACTAAAAGAGGTCACATGGTGGTGTTTTTAACTTTTGATCTTGGCTTAAAATAAATATTTATTCATTACTTTCTTAGAAGAATTTATGGGTTACGTTATCTCATAAAATTTATGGAGTGAATTGAATTATTTCTTGTTAAGTACTCCATTTTGATTTTCTTTAAATACCTAATAACATTTCCATTGTGCATTTTCTTTTGCTTTAATTAATATTCAAATAAAATATTTGAATAAAAGTAGATGTAAAAAAAGAGACTTTTTCTTTCTTTTCCAGGGTTAGGAATTATTAATCAATGATAATCAACAAGTTAGAAGTAATATGATATACAAGAATGGAGTGTTGATTAATTAGTAATTTTCTCTTCAAAGAAATAAAACATTTCTTATGGAGACGATATACATAAATTATACATGAATTTGAAACTAGTGATGACAATAGTCAAAAGTAGTGATTTCATTTTCATGTACATCCAAATTTGTCACTATCTACACATGGGCAAGATATGGGCTTTTGCCATTCAAATTTCAAATTCTTCAACTGTCAAGTAAAATCATAAATCATTAAAATTTATTGTAAAATTCTATTGAATTTGAGTTGCTTTTGTTCTCATTAGACTTGGATGAGAAGATGAACAAGGTGGCTCTTAAAATCCCAGGAAAAGGCAGTCCAGACAGTTTCGCGGAACGCGCTGACGCCTATTACCAGAAAAGACCTCAGCTTATGGCCTTGCTACAAGAACTGTACAATAGCTATGTGTCTTTAGCAGATCGCTACTGCCAAGCACTAGCCAAGAACCATAATCATCGTCGATATTCATCTCCAGCTCCACCGTTAAGTTACAATCAAAATGGTTATTGTGATGAGGAAGAGTATGGTGGAGATATCATTGATTCTGATGCTGAGAGTTCTTTATCATTTCAGCCTTCCTTTCCACCTTCAACACAAGACAAATTTGATATTGAAATGATTGTTGCTGACTTGGTGATCAGAAATGTGGACTATGATTTCGTCTTAGAGGAGCTGAATCAAGTGGAAAGACAAAGCAATGAGTCATCAAGGAAGATAGAGTTGCAGAAAAGCTTACTGGATGTGATGGAATCAGAGAGGTTGATTCTGTTAAATGAGAATGCTAGACTGGGATACAAGGTGGCTACGTTAATGGAGGAAAACAAGGCGGTGTCTTCAGAATCTTTGTTCATGAAGAGGAAGGTTGCTGAGCTTGCGGGGTGCATATTGAAGATGAGGGAGGATCATAGGGTTTGCATGCTAAGTCGAAAGATTGAGGATCTTCAAGGACAAATATATGGGCTGGAGAAGAGGAACAAAGAGTATTATGATCAGCTTGTGAAGCATGAAGAAGAGAAGACACGTAGGTCTAAATCAATGAAGGTTAAAGGAGAAGCTAACATGAAATATTGCTTTAAAGTTCCTGAAGACGTCGTTGCTGGTATTACTAGGAGCTTTAGTTTTGGAAATCTGAAAAAGGGTAGTGGTGAACACAAGGTAAATGCTAATGCTGAAGTTAAGAAGAAAGTTCCTAAGTTGTGGGATAGGGTCAAGAAGTTTGATATCTTCTTTTGTGGACCTAATTTCAACACAGTTTATTGCTGATGAAAGGACAACCTAAATGTTTACTAAATTGATATTATAACTTTACTAGTATACCGTTAATTGGGCTGGGAGAGAGAGAGACTTAGACTCTTGTATTTTGTATGTTCTACTCCACTCTTTTACCAGGATATGAATGACATATGAAGAAAACTTTGATTGCTGCCCTAATGACAGATAGTGTCTATGATATAGATGGGCAAGATCCTCCAAGATTACTAAGGTTAACATTGCTGGAGATGAACTAAGATTAAGGACGAAAAAATTGCATTATGTTTACATATATATAACATAGACCAGCCAGTAGAGTACCTTCTGCTTACAGACATCATTCTATATACAATGTCAAACTAGACAATGAACTACAACACCACATACGTAACATGTTCAACCTCAGCAATACTTAAATACCTTGGGCAAATTAGATTGACAGTAATCCTAATTTGTATAAACATACAATCTTGTTACTTATGCTGAATTTGCAAGAGCAAGTTTCTCATTAAGCTTTGTAATCCGAGCCTGAAATGGTTAACAATGATAATACATCAGTTGTGAAAAAAAAAAAAACAGATATTACGAGGAACAGATAGTTCTCCCCTGTGTGCCTGGGACTCAGCTGACAATCATTTCAGGCCCATAATTCTTTCTTGTCATAAAATATTCACTTTGGATTTTGGAAGGCTTAGAAACATTTTAACAAAACACCAGCCTCCACATGCCTTAGCATTGTGGTGTGCATGGGCAGATCTCTCTACATACAGAAAAAACATGAAGTGTACTGCCACAATCACAAAAAGGTGTGATACCTTTTCATGGGCATGTGGAGATTTTTAGTTTTAGTTAGATATTGAAAGCTTTCTCAGTAACTTGTAGCAAATTCATAACTTGGTAAATCATTTCAGTTCTACTAAGGAATATAAAACTTAAAATCATTTTGTTACTCCAATATTGGTGGCAGTTCTACAATCTTGAAATTTATGTGCGTTTCCAGCTTATCTTGTTGATAACACACTATCAGTTATTAAGATATTACCAATTAAAGAAGAGACATTATTTAATTATTGACATAACAGGCTAGACTAAAGACTTCTACCATGTTATAACCGTATTTTAACTATTACCGCATGAACTATATCGGATTTCTGTCACTTCTAAAATAGCATCTTCATTTGCTTATGTAATTGTGTATTCTTGTTTGATGTCGCCAAAAGTAGATATAAGGAAACCAACCTTGAAAAAGATAAGCTTAAAGCCATATGATTTGCAGTGCAGAACAGATGCCAAGAGTTAAACCAATTCTATTCTAGAATTACAACAAACATGAACTGCACCTTGAAGGATTTTGAGCGACGGATGGACGGATCTAACTCTAAAGCCATGGAGTATGACCTCTCGGCTGCATCGACATGGTCCAGAGCCATCAAAACATCACCTTGGCAGATATAACCCTGTAAAGATTAAATTTAATAAATATTTGCAAGTAGGGATTAGGTGTAGATATAGTTATTTGATGTTCACTTCCTAGTTCCTACAATAATTGCAGGAAGAGAGTATTATTATGCAATCATATATTGTATTTACTGGATTCTAAAGTGAAAATGAAGGGAATTGAGACCTCATGGTTAAACACTAAAGTGAGTATGTTAAATTTAAGCACCAAACATTTAAAAGTTAAGTTTAAGCGCAACCATATGCTTTTCATGTATACTTAAGTAGAAGTAACAAATAATCAAATTACTTCAGGATAATTGGGAGCAATATTTAACGCCTCCTTAGAATCTTCGAGTGCCTCGGCCAAATTTCCCATTGCCAACTCTGCAGCACACCTGATTGAAGACACTTATTTCAGCATCTTGTTCACATGCATTCTGATCATCTAGACAACAAGGCAATAGTGACCAAATATTAAATATAAATTTGGACACTGGAACAAAATCAAGTGATCCAAGAGTTTTCAAATAACTTCAAGAAAACTCAGTAAATAATTAGGAAGGAAGCCATGAGCAAAAAATGCCAGGACCTACACTCAAGGAACAGAATCTGATGTTGTTTTCACTAAAAATTGTAACACGTTCATGTGAATAACAGAGAATTTAGTGTATCCTTCAAATTTATTTGATTACAAAAAGTCCTAATTTTCCATAAAAAAGAGATTTTAAACACAGTAAACCTGTCTTTGAGCATAATATGAACACCTCCAAACGGCTTTAGAGCAATAGCCTGCACAAAAAAATGGCAACATCAGTAACGATAGGCACCAATCTTGCATTAGATACGACAAATAGGCCATATCTAAAGGAGACCTGTAAAGCTAAAATATAAGTAACGATGGCAACATAAAAATAGTGAAAGGAATATAGCATCATGTTAACTTCAATGACCTTAGTTCACCCTGTTGATTGTAGAAAGCTGCAGATTACTTCCATTGGCAGAAATCCTAATGCACTAGCAAAAAAGATCTGTAATTAAAGATTTACAATTTCTTTCTGGTACTGACAAAACACAAATCTGTGACTGGTGAATGGAACTGGTATCTACAGCTTAGCATTTTGATTCTCTCATTACCACTTGCTAAATATAAAATTCAGTACTTCAATTCTCAAGGCAACTAGGAAAGGTGCTTAAGAAATAAAATTACATCAGACATCGGAAATGAAGAGCATCCTTGAAACAGACTAGATAATAGATTGACTGCAAAGCCTAGGTCTTGAGGGAAAATGTTCTCATAATACATATCTTGTCTAGGCTTTTCGAATTTTGAAGGATATCATTTTTTCCGCCTTGGTCAAGCTATGTTGCTCGGACTCTTACAAAATATCAACGTGTGCGTGTCGGATTCTCCAAAAATAGTGTATTTTTGGAGAATACAACCCGGGTGTGGCATTGTAAGTGAAGAGTACGTGCAACTAAGGTCATAAGTATCCGTCTGAGATAAGAAATTCTTCACATCAAATAACTTGAATGCGGAAGTTGTTCCGAACTTTTGAACCTCAAGCTTCTGATAAACCGTGCCATCTCTGTGTTGAAAATTATGTGAATCAATGGCATTCTCTTTTTTTAATAGTTTCTTCACCATTATTAATTTTTATCATGAAAATACTTGGATGGTCTCAAATTCACTATGCTAATCAGAGTAGTATTTGATGCATTGATATTCATTCCAACGCACTCTATCCCATTAAGACAGTAGCAAAAAGCTCAATGGTCAGTCTCAGTAGGATACCCTTTTAAATTTTTGATCCATAGCATTCATCAGAAGCATTTCAAAGAATTATCTTCAGCAAAATTTGATTTAGTGTAATTCAGCAAAGTATGAAACCACACACCTGTGAGAGCAAACCATGAGCCTCAGAGAAATTACCATTACCCATCTCATCTTCAGCTCTTTTCCTCAACGCTAAAGCCTCCAAACTTCTCCTACTCTCTCCTTCAACATCATCCCTACCAAGGCACACGAACGCCATAACTTCAGCAGTTCGAGTGGGAGTACCAACGTGCTTGACATATACAGCACCAGGTAAAACGACGACATTAGGTCCAGCCCCGCAACGGCCAAGACATCCACAGGAATTAACCGCTACAAAGGGAGGAGCAATTCCAGATAAAACTTGAAGGGTATCCAAGGATCCCTGTTTCCTGCATGCCCTCTCTGTGCAAACTCGAATTTCCATCTTCCTTTCTACTTCTTCTTCTTTTACTGATGATGCTTTGATTCGTGTATTGTTAATGGATTTGAATTTGGGAAGTGGAAAGAGGAGGAACAGAGAAAAGGGTTGCTGAGAAATGCTTCTGAGAGTGCTCAAATGGATTGCACTCATCGTTTTACTCAAGTTACTTCTTGTTTCTCCGATTTCTTCTTTACTCTTTTGCTTTCTTCATTGAGAAAAATTGCTCGCCGGAGAAATGACAGAGTGTGCAGCGGTTTAAGGCGGGTACCGGATAATGGAATGTTCTTCTCTTCTATTTGAGCCATCCAAACATAATCCTTTGACTTAGCTCAATGACTCAGGTTAAAAATCATGTTTATATATTATGTTTTTATGAATACTTAAATTATTCGAATTATTTACTTTTTTTTATTACTTTTTCGTTCTTAATTACTTGTCGACTGTGTTCACATAGAAATGTGCGGTAATATGTTACATCATATTTGCTAGTTGAAAAAAAGTTTGACGTTTGCTAGTACATTAATTTTAAACGTATTGCTTTTCTAAGAGTATTTTGATTTGGTGATAGATTTTGATATATTATATATGATGACAACATGTTGAATTTAAATAGAGAAACAGAATTAGGTTTTACGTAAGTCAGTTAGTATCTTAAATTGAGATATAATTATTATTGTTGGTTTAAATTTGAATTAAATATTCAAAGTCATAGCACAGTTGAATTTATTTTTTGACCATAGAACTGTCTTAAATGTTAAAAGAGTGTCAAATAACAAGCCAAACAAGAAAATTTTGATCAGCAATTTGGATACACATTTTTAGAAACTACAATATTGCGAGGTGTCTCTAGTACAAGCACTCTTTAGGCATTTGATTGAATCTTGCAGTATCCTTACAATAATCATACACCAAGTACTTGTTTTGAACCATTTTGAATTGGCGTTTTTTGCTCTTTTCTAGCCCATTCTTGGATGGTTTATCCCACAAAAATTTAGCTAACTTGCCACATTTTGCACCTGCAGCAATTGTGTCCTCACCACACAAATCACAAGCATCGATCTCGAACGATCGAAATGTCGTAACAAATGGAGAGTGGCTCCAGTTTGTCTTCACTCTCCCTCCTTGTGTAGCCCAGTCATCTGCATTCCACAACGATCCATAGATTCCCATGCCTTGATTTTTCGGATATGGAACACCTTTTTTCTCCTTGTTTTTGAACACTCTAATTGGAATATCATCAACTGAAAAGCTGTGAAAGATTCAGGGGTCGACTAAAACTAGTCATTGTTACCGTAGATTTGACTCATATACACTGATAATATAAAATTCTAAAATAGTAACACCCTCGGTCCTACGGAGTTGCACCTCTACATGTTTCACGGAAAGAACATATTTAGAGATATGGTTCAAGTAGAATTACTTACATGATAGAATGATGATTCCAAAAGAAAGAGTAAGTGTGGAAGTCCGTTGTTGGATCGAACCACAGACCGTGCCTCTGCTCTCGATCTCCGCTGCCATTCACGTAGATATTTGTTTGTACTAGGTATGGTTCCCCTGAAACATTCCCAAGAAATTCAAAGTCCAGTTCGTCGTGATTAGCTCCTTCTGATGACATCTACAAACCACATATTTCCAGCAATTAGTAGCATTAGGCCATAAGTTATTATAGTTTGAAGAAACAATATGTTAGATCTTGATATTTATTTGACGTGGTTTTTGTCACGTACATAAAATGCAATAACTGTTCCGGCTGAATCTCCTTCAACTAGTTTGATCTGTGCACTGGCTTTCCCGAACAAATATTTGAACCTCGACTCAAATCCGCAGCCTTTGTGAATATGAACATAATTAATCAAATGGCTATGTAATTATATTGCCTTGAATAGGCATAAATATAAGATATGAAGTGAATTAATGAAGTCTTACCAGAAGCGCTGTCAAGGGAGAGAGTAACTTCGTCTCCTACAACAGCAATATGGTCCGGTGCCCAGCTGGACTCGAAAACATCAGTGAAGTTGACACCAACCCCTGGGTTTAGTAGCATAGATAGGATCAAAAAGACAATCATAAAGGATGACATTGCTGTCTAGAACTTGAAGATAGATTAATTTCAGAGTCCAGAAGAAAAAAGTTCAGGTCTATCGGTCTGTTAGGAAAAGCGCCAATCAAGAACTTGGAGCCACTCTAGTTTTATTTACATAAAAGTTGTTAACATAGTATTACTAAACAATATATTTTTTATATTAGTATCATGGAGTACAAAAAGCAAGAGAATATGTTTTGGTGGCAGCCATGGTACAGTGGACTGTTTGTCAGCAAAGCAGCCTTTTTCTTCTCTTGTTTACTACTATATATATTCTTACTTTACCAAATAAACTGATTCTTTGCTGCACTCCACTAAGGCACTAACTACAAGTTTTTATAGTAAATATTCTACAGTGGAAACTTCAATGACAGTCTTTATTAGAAGACATTATGGGAGGGAGGAACAAGTGGGAAGTTAGTTATTAGGTAGTTAGAGTGAAGCAAACAATACAGTATATATATACTGCCAAAAGTTATGAATGGCAACAACCCACCCACTAAAGTATCAGAAAACGCACTATGATTTTGTGACTGAATGAAGAAGGGAATAAACAAGGATAAATTATTCCAACCTGCAATACAAATCCCCAGAAGAGTAGTAGGATAATAAGCACTCCGTTACTTATTCATAAAGTTAGGGGGATTTCAAATTGGTTGAATTGCAGTGAGTAAATTCCATTAGTTATAAGTGAGAAACTAGATGAAGTATCTTCAAAAATAGCCAAAGTCAAACGGCAAGCACATTACGGGTCCAAGTAAAGGTGGATCCAGGATTTGAAGATGACTGGACACCTCTATCCTTAACATAGTCATGGGAAGTACTGATTACAGGGTGAGAAAGATGAAATCACCTTTGAACTCTTTGATATAGAAAATTCAGGTTACTTAAAAATATATCATGGTGATAAGTGCTAAGTCAAAACAAAAATCTGAAATTCTGCGACATTTAAATAGTACTGCAATCTCTTCATATGACTCACCCAATCAATATACCTCCTGTTACGCATACTAGAGTTAAGCCCTGGCGGCTACACACTGGCCATAGGAAGAAGGAATGAGTTAAGCTGCCAGGCCGTATGTACTAGGTGAAGTTGAGATTAATAGACAGTAGATACCCATAGGCCCCTCCTCCACCACCTGGAGAGTAATGCTAGTAGCCACTGTTCAAGCTCCAAGAGTGATAAAAATGGAAGGATGCATCTGGTAAAGAACTAAACAGAATGAACCTATTAAAATTAAGAGATATAGAATCTCATGGATAAAACACTCTGAGGAATCTTATCAGACACTAGCAGATCAAAACTAGAGGCAAGTAGAAGTTGCTTTTTGACCTAATTGTGAGCGTTCTATAACTGGTATCAAGTTATATGGAGAAGTAATAATTACAAAGTGATTTTGTCACAGTCAGCTCACTCTTGTAATGACTTGTAAAAAAACTCAAATCTGTCTGTTTGAAGTCGAAGTAGAAGAAGGCATATCCTGGGCATGAAAGGCTACATGGCAAACAGACTGACTGTGATCCACCTTTTAAGTAACTATCCATGAAGTCCTTTAGCAAAAGCTTAAGAGTAATCAGTCTCTTGAGTTAACAAATTGAGAATGAAGTTCTTTAACACATCCGCACAGTGAAGAAAAGAGATCCTTTCAACTAACTATCCCTGAAGTAGCTGGCAATGCAGAAAACACCACTACAACATGTAGGGCAACATAAATCATATTGTGTGACCTGGCGCTAAAATGAGGGCTTGTACTGCAACTTCAATCTTGGAAAAGTGTGCCCCCATGATGACAACGTTATCTGGACCAGCAAATGAAAAAGCTTGTCATCCTTCACCCAATTAACATAATCAAGACATTTTTCTTTGATCCATAAAGTACTGCACAAACAGGAGTATAAGCAGAAAAAGAAAAAAGAACAACCTACTGTACAACAAATCCAGGAAACAGGACCTACAATGACTCGTAATAACACCTGAAATGGTGGATTAGAAAAAATCTGATTAGAACCATCGTACAAGTTTTTTAGAGAACTCTCCATGCAGGAAGGAGACAATGACATAGTTAAACATAGCATGCAAGCCACTATAGGCATAATCGCATAAGTTCGCAGACAAGCCAGATGCATTCAAAAAACAATTTGCCTTTTAACACCAAATAGGGACCAGCTGGTAAGGTAATTGTCAAGCAATCTTGTTATCATTCCTCTTTTGGGGTAAGAAAAGAAAGAGAAAAAGGAAGCCTAATTTCCAGGCAGATTAAATGGTAGCTTTTCGATTACTCGAACTTTGAAACCCTTAGACAAAAAGTTAGTTGTCTACTACATATAAACTAGAATAGATGCATCTTACTGTGGTCAACTCTTGTCAAATGATAGAAATGGGGGAGTAAACAATTGGAGAGCTACCTGCATAAAATATAGGTGTCTACTGACCACCTCTTCTGATGTCTTTGATGAACCAAAAAATGGTAATAATATACATTATATATTCTTTGCCAGCTTCTCTTTTAGAATCAGGCTCTTCCAACCAGCTCCCTCTTTGGAGATGAGAATGATGTAGACTTGGCAATTCATGTTTGTATTACCCAGAACACCTTCATCTCCAGAGAGAAATCCTGTTCTTGTTGTTGAAAGAATAATGCGTGGTTTAGGGAGAAAACCAGTGAACTCTTAAAAATAGATGGGGATGTTCTTCAAGAAAAAGTAGAACTTGGTTCTTCATGTAATTCATTACATAGGTTCAAAGCCCAACTTAGAGAGACCATAATTGCAACAGTCACGACCACAAGCTTTGGATCAGAGCTGCAACTAGGCTACGCCCATCCCTTAAAGTAAATTTTGATTAGCATCATCACCCAAGGAATAAATTGCTGAAGTCCCCAAATGTTGATGACATCCGGTTATAGACTAGGGAAAGCACAAACCGAATGAAATGATCCAAAATCATCCATCCATAGCTCACCAATAATCCCCACATGAACATGATCCATCTCTAAAGTGATGGAACCTACTTGAATCTCGCACAGTGATCTCCCTTCCAACTATTTTTGAGATAACTTTAATTGCAGCATGACAATCCACACAAGCTCGCAAGTTTTTCATAATAATAATGGGTGATCCTTCTGGAGTATTAATTAATGCAAACGCAATGGCCAACCTCTCACTGTGATATTTGAGTGATTCTATTTTCATTTCTTCATCCACATTTTGAAGGGTACAACTTGTA